AACTTTTATGCTATATGTCTTTCTTTATATCTCACAATCTCATCTTTCTCATTTTTTTTCACAAATACCCATTTGTATCTTGTTGAATTAATATTTTCAAGTGTTTTGAATATGAATCCAAAAGCTGTTTGTTTTGTAAGAGAATATAATTTTACCTTGATTGCTTCTTTTTATTTACGTCAATCATCTCTAAGTCGATATTCTTCAATAGACTTAAGCTTAGGATCTTTATTTTCATTCAAAATATCAATTGTAATCTTATATGCAAAAGTGTCATCAATAAATGTTTCTTTTCGAGTCCTATTTTCTTCTTATATTAACATAATTTATAGAAATCTCTTGATTTTTCTCAAACATTTGGACTTCTTCTAGATGTCTATTATCAAAAATATCTAAATCATTTTATGAACATTTACCTCTTCTATATTTTCATCTTGATTATTTTCCCTTCTTTCCTTCTTATAATTTTTTATCTTTAGAACTAATTGGTCTTTTGTACTTCAAGCATGCTTTAGATTCATTTACAACAACATTAACGTATTATTTTATTAGGACATCAATTCTAATAAAAGCATTCTAAGTGGAAACATGTATTTTAATTACTCTTTTTGAATTTTAGAACACATTTAATAGTTGGTTTGTAAGACTTTTTAAATGAATTATCTTCTGAACTTCAAGTTCACATTATTTTATGCGAGGATCAAGGTGATGTAAAGATAAAGTACTCCATGTAATCTCTTTTTCTAACATTTTTCACTACTAATTTTGCTTATTCTCTCTCTAATGTTGGAAAAACTATTTCATCAAAATATTAGTCAACAAATCGAGCTATGAAAATATTCTCTAATGATTCAAGAAATTTAAGTATCAAAGGTAATTCATATCCAATATATATTTTCAATCTCCTTTCGAGTGTCCATTTTAGTTCATTGTGGAGGAGCAATAAGAACATATACTATATAGCAACAAATTCTTAGATGAGAAATATTTTGTTAATGACTAGAAACCAATTGAAAGGGAGAAAATTTATAATAACTTATGGGTTTGATGTTAATAAGTATTACTACAAGTAAGGTTGTATGTCCCCAACTATAAACAAAAAGTTTTATTTTTGTAAGTAATAGTCTAGCTAATAATTTATTACCTTTTGATAAATGATTTTGCTAAACCATTATGATTATATACATGAGCAACATGCTTTTCAACTTTTATTCTTATAGCCATGCAATAATCATTTAATGCTTAAGAGGTAGATTTGGTAGTATTGTCAAGATGAATTATTTTAATGGCATAATATAGAAATTGTGCCCATAATAGAATTATTTGAGCAAACAATCTCGAAAATGTCGGGTTTCAAGTTGATAACAAGTATACATATGACCATCTTATCTTTGTATCTATTAAAATTATAAAATATCTAAATGGTCTACATGGTGAACGAATTGATCTATATATATCACTTTGAATACATTCTAAAAATATTAGAAATTCAATTCTAATTTTACTTCGTGATGACTTAATAATCGAGTTTACCTTGAAAACACACGGAACATAAGAATTCATTAGATTGAAGAATCTTCTAACTCTTCAACGATTCTCATATAAATTTTCAGTAAAACTATTTGAATTATTAAACATCCGATTTACTATAATATTTGTTTCTATAATTTGAATGTTTGTGTGATAGAAATCATAAGAAAAATTGGATAATTTCTTCATTACATATTTTCTATCCGATGTAATAGTTATAATATATAAGTATTTAGTATTTTTCACATTTGTTGTTTTGATATAATATTCATTTAGATGAATATTTTTAAAATTCAGCAAAAAATATTATGAAACTTTAAAGAGAATAATACATCATTTATAATAAAATTTATCTATTCAAATAATAATATATTCACTCTTCTAGAGCTTTTAAAATTTATTTCTTTAGATAATAATATGTTTGCTCTTTTGAACATTTCTATTAGATTGATAGTATCAAATACATTATTACTACAAAATATATAATTGGATAATATATATAGAAACATAATAAATAATAAATAAATAAATGTATAGAAAAATAAATTTGTAACCATCACTCGGACAATAAAAATTATAAAATATCTTATTTATACATAGAAACTCTAACAACTTATTAATTTTAATTATCATTATTTTGATATATAAAATTGGCCTTTGTATTTTTTTTTTAATGAGGCTTGATAATGTTTAACAAGGTGCTTAGATGTATGACGATGTATACGACTAGTCTCTTCATATCACATCTATAATATTCATTTTCGAATCGTCGCTTTGGTCCATTTTTATTTATTTTCATTTTTTATTTCATAGTTTATCCACTTCGATGGTGAGATATATTATTATGGTCATCATGATTATAATGATAATTATTTCGATCGCGACCGTAGCTATGTCCATGTCTATGGTTATGACCACGTCCTCGTCCTCATCCATGTCTAGAATAATTATAAATTATCATATTCACCTCGGAGAATAAAGTAAACCTAGTTAGACAGGATTCAAGATTTTTTAACAATAGCTCATTATTTTGTTTAGCCACAAGCAACTATGAAATTAATTCAGAATATTTCTTAAAATTCTTTTCTTGATATTGCTGCTACAAGAGCATATTCGAGACATGAAAAATAGATAATGTTTTCTCAATATCAAACCCTCATAATCAATAATTCTTTTTCAAAATGTCAAGGGCTACAAAATCAAGTTTTGTAAGGTTTGATATGATAAAAATTCTATAATGTAAGATATAATAATAATGTTAGAAAAAAATATAATAATAATGTTAGAAAAAAATAAATATAATAATAAGATTTAATCTATTTAAACACTATAAATTAGATTATTAGATTCTATATATTTAATCATTCAAGTTTTTCAACCGTATACTCTACATATCATTAGATTTAAAGTAAAAAAAAAATAAAATTAGATACATAAATTTTAATGATATAGATAATTTAGATTTTTTGGTAGAGCATTTGTGTGAAAAACAATCCAATGTTGAAACAAATAATTGAGTCTTTTGATAGATATATACCTCATGGTCTATTATTTTGGTTGGTTAGAATTTTATGTTCATAATTTGTTGAAAAATAATGATTATGGAAAAATATTCTTATGATAATAGTAAGAGGATTAGAGAGGAAGATGATGTCACTATGAAATAAAATAAATACAAGTTATAACAACTCTTTCAATCTTTACAAAAACATTTCAACCAAAACTAATAAACAATCAAGGTTTTTTTTTTTAATGCTTCAATATTAGGAAAAGAATTAGAAAATTAAAAGGTTTATAAATGGTTAAATCAAATACATCATCCTTTTAATTTCTTTTATTAAATAGTGAATTGAATTATATTCATTATTTCATAATAGATATTTAATTATTATAGTTATAAATTTATTTGTAACTTTTTTTTTTGTCAATTTCCTATTATTTTTAATTTATTTTTACTTTTTAAGAAGTAAAAAAAATTAGAGTTTTTTTCAATGAAATAACGGTTGGATCTTAGACTATACAATGAAAGAAGTAGTCTTTTATATATATATATATAATTACATAATAATTAAATAAATTAAAATTATTAAAATCCAAACTTATTTCATTGATAAAAAAATATGTAGACACATAATACACAACTACTAGCTTTAATAAGGTAAAGAAAATTAGGTAAGATGAGAAAATTTGATTAGAAAAGAAAATATTTTTAGTATAGAAAAAAATATCAAAATAAAGATGGCTAGTGGAACCTTAGTCAAAGGATTACTTAATTATCTATCATGTCTTAGAGACCAATTAATTATTTTTTATAGAATACATAGACTAAGTTATATTTAACTTCATGTTTCACAATTTTTTTTTTTTTGGTAAACAGTAATTGAATTGATTTTAATAACAAAATCACATTATTAGAAGTAATGGTCATTAGGAAGTCCTATTTAACTGGAATTTTTATTTTATTTTTTCATTGTCAAAGACTTAAACCTCTCTGACCTTTTTCTCTCTCTTTTCTGTCTTTACACAGTAATGCCAAAACCCCAAGGCCCCTAATCCCTATCTCGCTCTCTAAGAATATCAGTATAAACCCAGGTACGATATCTGTACGTATACGTGTGTTTATACGTGTTTGTGCTCTCTGTAAATGAATTCTGGGTCATGATCTGAACTGATTACTGTGTTACACTCCCGGTAAACGCTCAATCTTTGTTTACTTGAATTGGGTTTTCGCTATTTCCCTGTTTTTTTCTTGGGCTGGTCAAAAGTTTGTTTTTTCCTTCATCTAATATGTAAATTTGCTGATGTTTGTTTAGTTCAATTGGGTTTTGATATTTTCGCTTGTATGTTATTCGGTTGGTCAAAAGTGTTTTTCTTCCCTTCATTGTGAAAATCTTTAAAAAGTATTGCAACATTCACTGTGTTTGCTTGATGTTTGTTTAGTTCAATTGGGTTTTGATTATTTTACTTGTATGATGATGGGTTGGTTTAAAGCTGGCTTCTTTCATCGTGGAAGTCTCTAATTTGGATGATCATACACTGTTCTGTGTGATTTTTGGGTCTGAATACAGTTAATAAATGTTGGAAAAGTAAGCTTTTGTTACTTTGTTGAATTAAAGTTCTGATCTTTACTTTTGTTGATATAAGAAGTTTGTGTGAATTGAGAAAGAAAACTTTGTTGTTGTTGTTTTGATTGAGATTGTTAATGGAATTGAAGAGAAGTAAATGAATGGGAATTTATTACATCGAAAGTGAATGCATAGTTATGTCATCTGTTGCTGTAGATTCAAATAGGTTGCATTGGGCATTTAGGATATATGTAACTTTGCATCAATTTGATTGTTTTCTTATGTTTGAATACTGTTGTGATGTCTTATGTTTTTGGTAAGGTCTCTCTGAAGGTTTCTGAGCAAGAGTAGCGTTTTGCAGCAAGATTTTATATTTCAGTGGAACATCGGTTTGTTTATCTTCTCATGAAATCGAAGAGAAGACGTGTGAATAGTTACAGCGATGATGCACAAGGGGAAGCCATTTTACCTCCTGAGATGTTTTGTGAGGTTTTGGCAAGACTTCCTGTGGAATCTATACTTCAATTTAAAAGTGTTTGTAAGAGTTGGTGTAGAATGATCCAAAGTTCGTATTTTGTCGGCTTGCAACTGGGAGTGACAAAGAATAAACCATCGCGTTTTATTGTCCAATCACAATGTGAAGTCGATATGAGCAACTTATTTTTAGTTGATGTTGAGGATCTCAAGGCTCGAGAGATTTGCCTTGAGAAAATCAAGTGCCGTAGTCGTTTTAAGTTTAAGTTGCCTGCCCTTGGAATCAGATGTTTTTGCGATGGTTTACTCTGCATGGCTTCCAAAAAAAGGCTAGATCCTGTCTGTATATGCAATCCAATAACAAGAGAGAGTGTGATATTACCATTATCCAGGTCAAAAGCACATCTTGTCCGTCATAAGCTTGCTTTTGGCTTTGATCAGTCAGCAGGCAAGTACAAAGTTATTCGAGAATATAGAACTAGTAGCAATAAGCATCTCAGCAAGTTCCAGATAATTACACTTGGAGAAAGTTCTTGGAGACAGTTGAACCCCTCACAAAACATATGCTCATCTGATTTGGATGCTGCAGTATTTTGGAATGGATCTCTCCACTGGATAATAGATGACAAAACTATTGATGAACCTATTCTTGCATTTGATCTAAGCAGTGAGACTTTCTATACCATTCCTTTTCACAGGCTGTGCTTTTCTCGCGAATGTTATGAGTTACAGGTCTTGGGGCCATATTTAACTATAGTGGAACATGACAGTCATATGATTAAAATTTGGGAAGTAGCTGGGAACAAGGTCAAAGGATTTTCTGTCAACTTTAGAGAGGAGCATGATACATATGTATGTTGGAACAAGTACTTCTTCTATAAAACAATTTCTCAGCTTAGCGACAAGAGTTTCATGTTACAGGTATGCATTACAGATAACAAAAATGTCAAAAAGGATTGGTTTACGCGTTATGTCCCTGAAATGGTGCAGTACTTCCACCAAGACATCCATGGCCTTCCTGACCATTTCAACACTGTTCATTTCAAGCCCTCCTTTGTCTCTCCTAATGCACTCCTTCCTGTTCAAAGTCAGCTTCCTGTGTTAAAAAGCGCATAAACCTGGTTTGTGGTGAATGGGGGAATTGATTTGGATTTCATAGTTCCGAACCTAGCAATGCCACATTAAGTAGATTGCTTTTCTAGCAAATGGAAGTGGCTGTAGATTGTATACCATTGTCCATATAGGTCAAATACACAGTCAAATGCTAATATAGCTCAGTTATTGCAGAATTTGAGGCAGTTATTGTATACCATTCCTTTCTTAGCAAATGGGGAAGGTGATATTTATACCCTTGTTGCTGTTCATTCTGTCATTCCCTCTTTCTTCTGTTCTTTGTGGATGATGATTAATTGAAGTACAATCATCTTATCGTTTTATCATGATTTTGGCCTTTGCAATAGAGTGCTGTTGGAGGCATCCCATTTGATCGAATAAATTTCAAACTCTTTGGTAAAAGTTAAAAAAACATGATAACTCTTCTAATAAGCCAATCAACCAATTATGAGTATACAAATAGATTATAACAAAACTCTAGGAACGAAAGGCCGATGAGCATAAATTCCCTTTTGTACGTGGCAACCGAGCACGCACCATTGCTTAGGATGTTCAAGAGTTGAAGATAGACATTTCTTCTTGCTTCCTGGTCAGTAGGCTTGCTTGCTTTACAGTACAGTCATTACCTCGCTCCCCTCATATTCTGCCATGTCAAATGGGACCTACATTGGTTGTGGGGGCCATTTTGCTGATGGGTGATTGGTAATAAGAAGTCCGTAGAAGTTCTCAGACACGAATTTGTTCTGTTCTTTGGGACTATTAGGCTGTACTTCTAGCCTTTCCAGTTTCAGTATCAGGCTCAGCAGCATCTTTACTGATCTGCCATTGGTTCAAGATCCTTAGGTAAGTTAAGTCCTCTGTTTTTTCTTCTCTTTCGTCTTCTTTCGTTTTACCTCATAATTAATCTGATCATTTTTTAGTTCATTATATTTTAACTGAAGTTCTGTACTTCCGGTGAATTTGCATGTCATCTACCAAACTTCGATCGTTCATCATCTTTATTAGAACATATGACAACACATGGAACTCTTTTAACAATTTCTGTTTTTTTTTTCAACTACAAAACCCACTTTCCCAGTTTAGATTCTTTCTTTTGGTAAATATAAAAGAAGAGAACAAAAAAACACAGCAAAGCTGAAAGGCATTTCTCTCATAATTTTCTTGGGAGAAGCCACTGATTTTCCTTGATTGCCGTCATTACATTAATGATCACCGATTTGCTCGATTCTTGATTTGACCGACATATTTTGAATCCTAATATGTACTGTTGCCTTCACCTATGTCTTTAACGACCTGATTTTAATGGTAGCTTTGCAGCGAATGGGTCAAATATTTTCAAGCAATGAAGAACCCCCATCATCCTCTTCTAACCAATATCAATCACTTTGTCCAGCAACTTCTCCTTATACCCCCTAAACCCACATCAATTTTATTAAAACCAGTCCCTCAAGCTCAGCTTTTCAATCCACTTTCATCCTTCTATGACATTTCAGCATCCCCAGCTAAACCATCTCCATCACCCCTAAATGTGCAACTTCTTTGAAGCCTACTCCATCATGTAAGCCAACTCTGTCTTCAGCTTCCTCAAGTCTAACCAATCAGCAGACAAAAGCCAGCAATGTATATATGGGTTCAAAAGGATACACATCACCTTTTTTATGCAATTCCAAAGGATATTGAGAACTTGATCAAGAGAGGCAAGGTGCCCGAGGTTAAATCTCTTGTCTCCTTCAACATACTTGGGATTATTTTGCTGCATTTCTGCATGCTGAGGACTCTACATGGAGGTAATAACTGAAATATCTCTCCCGTTAAGTGTTTCTTAATAGGCATACAGTTCAACAAGAGAAAAGGGAAAAAAAACCGTATTAATTTATCACACTAAAACATTTTGTGCATTCATATGTTTGTGAGATTGAAGATCACCTTAATACAATTCTGATCCAATCAAATTGATCCAGTAGGCTTGATAAAATGGAGCCTCTTTGATCTTTGGGGTAAGCAAAGCAAGCCATTTCTTTCCTTGAAATGGAAGTCCCAAACTTGCCAAAAACAAAGACAAGAACAAAACCAAAAGCAAAGGGATAGAGAGCTCCAAAATCTTGACTTCCAACTGGTTGATGGTTTTATCTAGAACTTTGTTGAAGTGCACATAAAAGTTAGAATCCCACATCTGGCCAAGAAAGTAAGAATGAAACAGCGAGGCGCTTTCACATATGGAAAGTTTCAGCCTCCCTTCTTGTGTTGAATGAACGCTTACATGCAATCCAAAGAGACTTCCTAGTACTCTATCTCCCTGACAAAACTTATATCACCTCTTGTCCACAACTTGTGCTCCTCACTGTGAGCCCATGCTACATTTTGCTGTACTTGGACTGATTATGTAAGAGCATGCTTTGATTGAATCAGAAATGGAGCGAGTTTAGTTGGATATTACTCTGGAGCTGTAAGAAGCAGCAGGAATATTAGCTTCAGCAAGATCATCAGAAGGACGATAAAACATTTGTAGCATCAGAGATTACTCAGTTCGTGAGAAGTGATTCTCATATCAAGGGATTTTCTCTTTGCACAACCTTCAGGTGAAAAGACTCTGACTGTTCTGATGATAAGCTTAATGAATGAGATTCCAGAGTCAGATATGTTTTGAGCCAATGCTGCATTTCGAGAAGAAGATGAGGTACCTTTTGAGATCCTCCCCTCATTTGATTATTGCGAGTGTTTTACTTTTTCTTCACCTCAGGAACTCCAGAAATTCATAGTGATACTATCTTTTTCCATGAGTAGTTTCCGGCTGCAACATGAAGGGATAGCTTCTGGTAATTTTAGTCATCTCTTCTTGGTGGATGCCTCATCGGCTTCTAAGCCAGAGGCAACAGTGGCGTTGGCCAATTTGGCTAACGAGGCTACTATGGTATTAGTTACCTGTGCACCATGAAACCACTCAAGCAATGTCCACTCTGGTATTGCAAGGAAGAAGGGACTGATGATATTATACTTTGAAAGACTTTGTGAGAGCAAACCCTACAGCAATTTAGATCCAATGTTCATCACGCAGCTTGTTGACTCGGAGCATAAATCAGATGGTATCCATAGCTCTGCATCACTCTGCTATGCTTAATCTGCTCTTTCACGGAGAGCAATACGAAGCTACTGTAACTCATCGCCCTTGTTGTTTCTTTCTTGTTGCATTGTCTAAAATATATTCTGTATGTACAAGTGTGAAAATGCATGGAGAGGTTTGCTGCAAGTTGACTTTGATATGCTACTCCATACCATGTAGATATGATTCTCTGCATGTTGTGGGTCATTGATTCTTTTGCCTCATCGACTAAGACAAGGTTAAAGCTGTTTCTTGTGATTTCTCTGCAGTTGGATTACTCGTGGAAGATAATGTTATCGTTTTAGGTGTCATTGCAGACTTCTTCTACTTCCTTCCTTTTTTTTTTTTTTTTTTTTTTTTTTTTTTTTTTTTGATATAACCACCTTGGTAACTTTAAGTTATTTGAAATTGGGTTTTGATTTTTTTTTTTAATTGGTTTTGAAGTTCCCTGAATTTTTATTTTTTACTTTTAGATTTAGCATATTCTTCAATTTTTTATTATTTATCTCAAAAAATAACAATTATATAAATAGTTTTATGATAAAAATCATTAGTGATAAAAATTATTATTGAAATTTATGTCGAGCTTCTAAAAATAAATTAAGATCGTTTCAAGATTATCTTCTATTTTTTCTATTTTTAATGTTCAAGAAGCAAACAAACATAGTTTTTAATATTGAAAAATTCTGAAATTTTTCTATAAAATTGATTGAAGTTTTTTCAATGTATTTACAATATTCTAAATCAAAATATTAGAAATTGAATTTTTTTAGAAGAAAAGATGATGGTTCAAAATTATTACATGGACTAAATCCGAAAACAACTAAAAGTTTAAAAATCTCTAAAATTAATAGAAAAAAATCTTAGTACTCAATTTTAAGAGATTTAAAGTTTATTAGTGGGTAGGCTTTTTAACCTTATTATTTATTTATTTATTGAGAAAGGGACAACCTTAGGTGAAAAGATTCTGACCGTTCTAATGATAAGCTTAATGAATGAGATTCCATAGTGAAAAATGTTTTTGAGTCAATTGTTATGTTCTCGCACAAAAGAGAAATTTTTCTGAAGCCAATTAAAAATGTTAGATAAGTCCGAAAGCTTCTGAAGATTATGCAAGTAATGGAAAAGTCTCTAAGATGTCTAATAAAAATCTAAACATGTCCTATAAAATTGTAGAGAGTCCCTTATTGTTGTAACTTATATATATTTAGATAGTTCTTTGTAAATATCTAGATAGGAGAATTCTAGAGATTTATTTGTAAAAATTAGTTCAAATAGATCCTAACCATCCATTAATAAGGTAGATGACTTTAAATAGGGGATGTCTTCATTTGGCCAAAGTATCTAATCTAGAAGAGAAATATAAGAGTTATATTTTAAGAGAGTTGTAAACTTTAGAGAATAATACAAATAGTTTCTATATTTCTTGTGTGTGTTTTTCTTTCTTAACAACTTTATGTGGAAGAAAGCTAGCTTAATTTGATTCGGAGAAAAAGTAATCCAAGTGCCGCATGAGAGCTTAGGGAAGGCCAAGTCCATGACAAGTGGAATCGAGCTAAGTTCTATCAAGTCCGATTAAGTTTGCGACTAGCTAAGTGTTCAAAGAGTAAGCATGTCTAGCTCGGTGGTCGGCATGTTGTTGCGAACATTAGGAAGGAGACTTTATCTCCTCAACCTAAGAAAGGAAGGAAAAAGTCTCATGATATGTTGGTTGCCTTGGAGGAGTGGCTCTTAAGGTTAAAGAAACTATTTGTTGATTTCAAAGAGACTTGAAGAGATGAAGGAGATGATGAGGGAGAGACATTAGACATGGTAGGCCTACGTGAAGTGCTCTTCATCTACAAGCTCGAGTTGAGTCGAATGAGAGGTGTGCTAAAGAGAGTGTTGCCAAAAAGAATGCTTTCGCGAAATAGACAAAGGAAATGTTCAAGTAACATCAAGAGTTTATGACCGGTATGAGCAAACTCTTGAATAACTTATAAACGATTAAGAAGTTTATCGAGAATCCATCTCTAATGGTGTGGTATTGAGGGACATACCAAAAGTTGAAGTGTTAAGACCAAAACACTATGTTAGCAAGTAGGATGCCAAGGAAGTCAATAACTTATTTTGGCTAGTGGAGCAATACTTTGAGACGGTGGGATGGAGTAAGGATAGGAGTTATGTTAAGATCGTTACTCTCTACTTTATCGAGGATGCCGCTTTATGGTGGTGTATGAAGCACTAAGAGCTTAAAGAGGCAAGAGTTGCCTAGCCGAGATGAATTTAAAGAAGCTATGTATATCCAATTCTATCCTAAGAAAGTAGATTGAAAAGCGTAGGATAAAATACGAATGTTGAAGCATACGGGAACTATTTATGAGTATGTTAGAGAATATGAGTCCTTTAAACTTTAGGTATGTGAAAAACTTGACTATTATTATACGTATGATTTTACTAAGAGACTTTAACTATAGATATAGCAAGAGACATGAGGTCAACGACCTAAGACCTTTACTAAAGGTGTGATCATAAAAGAAGGTAGAACCTTTCAAATCTAAGAAAGACTTCAAGGGTAAATATGGAAGAACCTATAAGAGGAGCTACAAAGATGGGCAAGATAAATCACACATATCCAAAGGCTTTATCAAAGAGCATGACAAGAGAGAATTCAAGCCCTAGGATTGCTACTTTTGCTAATGGCCACATCAATGGAGAGAGTGCCCAAAGTGACAAGCCCTCAATACCTTGATGGAGAAGAAGGAATGTGCTTCCAACATGAAAGACATATGAAGTCATTACGGGCTTCTCAGTACCTTTAATGTCAAGCCCTTACCTAAGATGCCATTTAAAGATGAGCTCATGTATGTAGATATGGATATGAATAGTAAGGTTGCACTCACCATGCTAGATATAGGTGCCACATATAACTTTATGGTCGAGGATGAAGCTAAGAGACTTGGTTTGGTGGTGACCAAGTTTTTAACTAGCATGAAGGCGATGAATACTTCTCTAAAGCCTACTAGTGGCGTAGTGTATGGAGTAAACCTTGGCGTGCATAGAAGGGAATGTTGGATTTTATAGTGGTTGCAATGGATGAATTTAAGGTTGTGCTAGGAATAAAGTTCTTTAAATAAGAAAAAGTTGTGTCTACACCTCATTTGGAGCAAATGGTGGTTATGATGGAAGAGACACCAAGCATGGTGCCAACCAAAGTGTATGATTGATAAAAAATGAAGCATCTTTTAGCTATACAAGTGAAAAAAAGGTTTCAAGAAAAGGAGAAGTCACATACTTGGCAATGTTGTGAAAAGATGAGCTAGTGGACAATGAGGGTGGAGAGATGCCTAAAGAGATTGCCAATGTGTTGGTCGAATTTGATGAGGAGAGTTGTTCAAGAAGTTGCCACCTAAGGGGAGATCAAACACCAAATAAAGTTAGTATCCGGTGCTAAGTCGCCATCTATGGTACCTTATCGTATGGCCTTTTCTAAGTTATAGAAATTGAGGAAGCAATTGAATGAAGGATCATGCATCCTATAGAGGTGCGGAATAAAATAAAAATTTTCCTCCATTTAAGGCTCCCGGGATCCAATCATTGAATCAACTAATCATATATACATGAATTAAACCATAAGCAAAGGATTACCTCTTGTAATACATAATTTAACCTTTATAGAAAAGGAGCCATCTAAGTGTCCTACCTCTATCGATAATCCACCAAGTCCAAGCACCCACACAAGAAGTACTCAAAACTAACAGAGTGATAGCTCCATCTTTTTTTACTTGTTTATTATTTTTTTACTCTAGAAATCTATTTAGGGATATTTTACGACAATCCAAAGAGAGAGGAGAGGCAACATGTTTTACGAAAAGGAGAAAACTGTTTTGTTCTTATTTTTCTTTTGTTTCGTGTAGCCCTAATTACTTATCCCTCTTTGCCACACCCCTTCTTATATTTATAAGGGTGTCTTCCTTGTCCTCCAAGGACAAGAAAGTGGTGGCAATATGTCCTAAAGTGAATTCTTGGTTATTGTTTCCTAATCCTCTAAGGATTAGGAGTTATTATGTATATGGATTTTTTCATCTTATCCTTAAGGATTAGGAGTTATTATGTATGTGCGTTTTTTCATCTTATCCTTTTAAACCTTGATCCTTATTTGATAACCGATCATGTTTATCCTCTCACCAAAATATCTTTCGAGCTTTTAAATTAAACCTATTGGCCCAAACTCCTTTGACCTAATTAATCACTAATTAATTTGAACTATCCACATGAACTAGGTTAGATATTTTAGAAGGCCCACATTAAGAAATAATTTTTCAAATTATCCTCAAACTTAAATTAGGAACTAATTTTTTTTTAGGTAACTTACTCTTAAAATTTGAAACTGAATTCCAAATTAGGAAAATGATTTCTAAAATATAAAACTTTCCATTTTAGAAAACTTTTCGTTTTAGAAAACCTTTTCCAAAATAGAAAACTTTCCAAATTGAAAACCTTTTCCAAAATCATTGTTTCTCTTTTATTATGTGAATGCTTAAACTTATACGTGTGACTCAATAGGCTCCTAGATATGTTAGTGATGTATCAAGAATAAAAGATACCTCTTTTATCTCTTGA